AAAGAAATAACGTCCCCCCCCAGCGGCTCATTCTCGTCCCCAGCCGACGAGCGCGAGAGGGAAAGCCCCTCTTTAAACTCATCAGCCAGGTCCACCTGCGATCCCCACGAGCTCATTCTCCTCCGTGCCTCAGCAGCGGCCGGTCCTGAACCGCGGGAAGCAGGTGGCTGCCCCTCTTTACTCGAAAAAAGAGACAAAAGAGAACGGAGCTTTTTCATTGAAAAACGCTCGCAGTGCATGCAGATTGCCCCCTCGAGGACATTGCGTGCGTGCTCTTCGCCCAAACAAACAACGCATAGATCGTGTGTGTCATCGGGTGTCAAATAGCGATGACACGGATGCACACATCTTCTAAATGCTTTGCTAGTGCTCGCCATAATGAATGAATAGAGATCGCTCTTACCACGGAAATGCACGCTTCAAACAAAACAGTCAGTGAAGACGAAGAAGAGGATGATGTGTTCTCCCGGCGCCTATTTATACTATAGTCGCACCGGTAGTGATGTCATGGCTGTCGCCGGCCAATGTATTTTTCAATGTATGCTTCAGACATGGATCACGACGAGGCGTTCCCCATAGCGACCCCTAGAGGACGCAGTTCGAAGTTCCCATGAAAGGGAACATACAGTGTGTTAAATAGTCAGATTTCAGAACAAATTACTCATCAAAAACACACAGTGCATCCAGTGGAGTCTGATTTCCGAATGTATGACTCTTTGAGACTGTTCTTTGTAGTGAATCAAAAGCTTATAAAGCGAACCAATAACACTTTTGAACCAGTTCTTTCAGGTGAATCATAAAACAAACAGAGATGGTTGTTTTAAATGAAACAACAACATTCAACAGGCAAAATATAGTCTCCTTCTTGAACAAATTACTCTTATGTTCTACTCTGTTATGTTTTTTTTTAAGTGAGTCAAAAACATACAGCACGGTCAGAACAGTCTGATTCCCTAAACATGACTCTGAACCAATACTTTTTAGTGAATCAAAACATACAGTGGATCCAATGGTCTGATTTCCAAACCAGTGTTAATTTCGTCAACGAAGACGACGACGACGAAAAATATTAGTTAACGAACATTTTTGCTGAGACTAAAAACGAATCGTTCAAGAACGACCCAACACTAGTCTTAGTATGGCAGCCGCAGTGGATGGATAGGCTACCAAAACGCAAACTATAGTGATCTGAAACAATGGCCTCAGCACCAAAGGGGTAGGGATAAGGTGACCAGACGTCCCGGAATCGCGCTGATAGAAGTGCTCTCTCTCGTGCACGCTCCACTCAGTTCTCACTCATATACAGCGCGCGATCAGTTATCAGCGCTCAAATACACACACAGCAGTCCAAATGTCTATCGTGTAGAGTATATTATAAATTATATATATATTATATATGAACAACTATAATTTTTATAAATTGCTCCCTTTTCTCTAATGTTAAAGGGATAGCTCACCCAAAACTGAAAATTGTCATAATTTATTCAAGTTTTTCCAAATTCAATCCTTGATTCAAATTGCTCATAAGCTTAAGCCAATTGATTTGGTTTAAAGAGAGAATTAATGACTATTTTTGTTTGAAGACTACATATAGCTACCCAAATAAATGTTGGTAACTGCAGTTTGACTAAAAGTAATGACTAAAAGTTGACAAAAATGCAATGATTTTCCATCGACTAAAACTAGACTAAAACTATGAAAGACTCAAATGACTAAAATGTGACTAAGACTATTGAGCATTTTCGTCTCAAGATAAAGACTAAGACTAAATCAAAAATGCCTGTCAAAATGAACACTGTTCCAAACAAACTAAATTAAAATGAAATTGAACTAAATTAAATCAAAACAATCAACATGCACACAAATGCCCATTATGAGCCAAAAAAACATAATGCTTATAAAATAAATGTTTTGTGTTTTTCATTGTTTAGTACTATTTAAAACATCAGGACCAATTATTGGATTGGATTTATATCTTTATGCCATTAAGGCAAAACAGAACATAACAGCATACTTCTCAACAACAAAACGTGTTAAACCTGGTCTTAAAAGTATCAATCAGTCATTCGCATAGACAGCAACAAGTAAAGACTCTTATTTGTCACCGGCAGTGTGTGCTCCTCCGAGCAGAAGGACAATTTCGTTAAACCAGACTGAGAGCTTGTCACCCAGAATAGCTCTAAATGAAATGAAACTCAAGTCTGGTTTGGTTTATTGGACGTGAGTGTCTAGATACATCAGAGACCTGGCATAAATAGACAGGCCTGAGAGTCCAAGGCCAGAGAAAACCATTTACACAAACTGGAACAATTACCTCACATTACATGACTGTGTCTGACATACAGAACAGAATATACTGTATAATGCCTAATATTTTTTTTTTAATTGTATGTGAAATGGTACTAATATGCAACAATACTGTAAGCATGTCAAAAGTATGCTAAATGCTTTTGTATGTTTGAAAGGCATTTAGTATAATTTTGGAAATAAATGTAGCTATTTTGTACTTTTAATTATATATAATGTAAAAATAAAATAAAATAAAAGTCTCTTTAAGCCAGATCTTTTGAGTAAATTTAAAAAAAAACACACACAACGTGAATAATACACTCCGATTTGTGAATGAATGACTCTAATGAGTCAGTTCTTTCAGGTGAATTAAAAACAAACAGTTCAGCCAGTCTACTCCTGAACAATTGCTTCTAAAGAGTCGGTTGTTTTAAATGAAACAAAAGCACAGTGTAGTCTGATTATGAACAAATGACTCTTGAGCAGGTTCTTTTAAATGAATCAAAAACATACAGCACGGCCAGTGTGGTTCAATTCCTGAACGAATGACTCTAAACCCGTTTTTTTAGTGAATCAAAATATAAAATATGTGTCCAGCAGTCAGATTGCCAAACAAATGACTCTTATGATAAAAAATAAATAAATGAATGAATATATATATAATTGTTTTAAAATAAAATGATTTTAAAAAATTTAATTGGTATAAAATGCTTGCAACTATATCTTGAGAAGTAGTATAGATAGTATGCTAGAATACTACTCTGAACATAGTCCACAAGCACGTAGGTATCTCAGGCAGAATAAATACCAAAATATATTGATTTCTACAAAAAAGAGAGAAAAAAAGTCTTTGGTTCAGTGACAAATGGCTTGGCCCTCAGAAGAACACGGTCAAGATAAGACGCCCAAAATGTCCCAAACAAACGTCTGTCTTGACTGAAAATAAATCCCTTTCAGCATGCAGCAACCCACAAAAGAAAGAGCACTTTTATAGTGAACAATAAAATACTGCTGGCCCTAAAAAAAGACCAAAATAGGAGAGAGAGGGGGGGTTGTAGCTGTCTGTAGCTTTATGAATGCCTTCTCACTGCACCTGTTAAACATAATCACCTGTTCATTATATGACAGACATCAGGCAATTAGTTAGTTGGCACTAAATGTTTATTTAATTTAATGCTTTGAAAAACGGCCATCAGAGTAATTTCCTGTATGTCAGAGCCATCTGTCAGACCAGCCCAAAATGCTGTCTCATGGTGATAGAAACTCGTTGGTGCTTGTATCTTTATTCCTGAGGCAATTGATGCTCTACATAAAAAGATCTGTTGAATGTTCAGTCTTGAGAGAAATGCAAGGAGCCATACCTGTGAGAAGAAAACACGTGTCCAGGAAACAGATTTTAATTGCTGAAGGTCATTTTTCTGCAAACAGGCAGCAGCTTTATGGAAAGCTCCTTGGCTTTGACTCGACTCTTGTCTGCTGAGTTAACACTGACTGAACTATAAGGACAGTGTCTCTGCTCAGCAAATCTATTGGAAGAAGCACATCAATTATATTTTGTCGTTTCTAAAGCCAGTGGCATCTATCCATCTTATTTATTTATTTACCATGTTCACAGTAGTAGCTGGTCTAAACTGCTCATTAGTTGGTGCAAGGTGGTTATTAACTGGTTCAAGCTGGTAATTTGCTGATCCAGGCTGGTCAATAGATTGTTTAAGATGATTATTAGCTGGGCCAAACTGGTTATTAGTAGGTGCAAATTGGTTATTAACTAGTCCAACATGTCATTTGATGATCCATGCTGGTTGTTACATTAAGCTTGTAATTAACTTATCTTTAGCTACTGGTTATTGATTGGTGCAAGTTGGTTATTAACTAGTCCAAGCTGGGTATTTGCTGATCCATGCTGACTGTAAGATTGTTTAAGCTGGTCAGTAGCTAGTTTAAGCTGATTATTAGCTGGGCCAAACTGGATATTATTTGGTGTAAGTTGGTCATTAACTTGTCCAACTGGTCATTTGCTGATCCATGCTGGTTGTTAGATTGTTTAAGCTGGTCATTAGCTAGTTTAAGCTGGTTATTAGCTATTAGTTGGTGCAAATTGGTTATTAACTAGTCCAAAATGTCATTTGCTGATCCATGCTGGTTGTTTAAGCTGGTAATTAACTTATTTTAACTAGTACTGGTTATTAGCTGGGCCAAACTGATTATTGATTGGTAAAAGTTGGTTATTAACTAGTCCACGCTGTTTATTTGCTGATCCATGCTGGTTGTTAGATTGTTTAAAGAGGTCATTGCCTAGTTTTAGCTGGTTATTAGCTGGGTCAAACTGGTTATTAGTTGGTGCAAGATGGTTATTATCTGGTCTAAGCTGTACATTAGACTGTTTAAGCTGGTCGATATCTGGTTTACGTGGGTTATTAGCTTGGCCAAACTGGTTATTAGTTGGTGAATGTTGATTATTAACTTGTCCAAGCTAGACGTTAGATTGTTTAAGGTGGTCATTGGTCAAACTGGTTATTAGTTGGTGTAAGTTGGTTATTAACTGGTCCAACTGGTCGTTTGCTGATCCATGCTGGTCATTAGTTGGTCATTAGCTAGTTTAAGCTGGTCATTAGCTTGGCCAAACTGGTTATTAGTTGGTGAAACCGTGAAAGATGGTTATTAACTTGTCCAGGCTAGATGTTAGATTGTTTAAGGTGGTCATTGTACAAACTGGTTATTAGTTGGTGTAAGATGGTTAGAATCTGGTCCAACTGGTCATTAGTTGGTCATTAGCTAGTTTAAGCTGGTCATTAGCTGGGCCAAACTGGTTATTAGATTAGATGACCAAGCTGGGATGCATTTTCCAAAAGCAACTATGGTCGAAATTTCTATCGTTACCAATAGAGTTCAATGGAACTTGCAACCATAGTTAGCTAACAATGCTTTTTGGGAAACACACCCCTGCACAGTAGATGGTTCAAGTTGATGGTGACCAGCTACCATGTTCCAAAAACTAGCTAGACCACCTTAACCTGGCATGATCAGGTTGTAGCTTGATCTGATTGTCTACCAGCTAATAACCATCTAATAACCAGCTTGGATCAGCTAGAACACAGTTTCCATGTAACAAACCATAGCTATACGATTTTAATATAATTTTGAGTAAATGACTAGGTCGTGTGACAAGTCAATGGTGAAAATAACTATTATAGTAACTTTAACACGTGGTAATGATTTATTTGCAAGCAACACAATAAGAAACCACAACTCGCACGCACCTTTGTACCCAAATGGAGTTTCACGTCAACCTTTTGCTTCTTCTGCTCCAGGATGCTCAGCAAATACTCCTGAAACACTCCGATTTTGGTGAAGAAGTGCTCGTTGTGCCAGCAGCCTTCCATGTTGTCAAAATCCACCCCCAGGTCCAGGAGGAAGCGGACGCTGCGGGGGTCCAGCGCGATCTGCTGCGGTCTGCAGAGCAGCGCGCTTCGGTAGCGCTCATCCAGGAGCGTCAGTTTCAGCACTTTACCGGAGCGGACAGCGACCAGAGCCGCGGTCAGACCGATCGGACCCGAGCCCACGATCAGAACCGAGATCCGAGCCCGCCACTGACGGATCCCGTCCAGGCTGACCTTCACCGCCGCGTACACCAGCACAGCGAGTAGAGTACTGAGCGCGGTGTCGTACGCCAGCGTCCGGTACTGATCCACGGGGCTCTCCGCGCTCACCGCAACCATGGCGCGATCGTTCAGGGAACTGAAGACAGCACGCTTCACTTGTTGAGGAGCTTTGCCACGTTACATGTGGGAGGTGAAGTGAAGGCTGAACACGCTGCCTGCACGAGCAACTCTCACTCCGCACTTCCTCTCTCTCTCTCTCTCTCTCGCCTTTCCTCAGAAGAAATCGGTGTACAAATGCGCACCTTTTTGTTTTCTGAGCGCACTGCAGTTCATTTGGGCTGCTGCTGCCGGTGTCTCAGTGCGCGTGTGTGTGTGTGTGTGTGTGTGTGTGTGT